GCCTGAGTGACACTCTCCATAAGGCCTACTAGATGGACCAAAGCATCCTGAAGTACCGGGGTAGCGATGAACCCCTCTAGAACCTGAGTTGGCCCTGCTAGAATGGTCTGGGCCGGAACCTCATCCTCAAACACTACTTGAGGCTCCGATGTTGGTGCTGGTGCTCGAGCTCTAGGCTGAGCCATGCCCCTGCCTTGTCCTCTAACACGGCCTCGACCTTGTCCTCTACCACTCGTAGGAGCTGCCACTGGAGGCTCAGGCTGCTGATCAGCGGATGAAGTAGTACGTGTTCTCGCCATCTGCGAAAAAACAGAGTAGAAGTTCAGTTAGCATTGAGAAGTCAAATCGCACGACAGAGAAGAACAGATGTGAAGTCATTTCTAAACTTTGTAGCCTCTGGGGGATAAGCACAGATGTCTCCGTACCGATCCCTTGAACTCTACCTGGCTTTTTTGTGAATTGTGAGACCTAAGCAACCTAGTGCTCTGATACCAACTTGTCATAACCTGCATTTCCTACTGTTGGGATCGTGATAGCGCCTAATTATTGAATGCTAGGCAAGACAATAACTACGATTTTTAACACATTAAAAATTAACCCAAATAGAAATAAAGAGTAATTAATGCTAAACAAATATAAAGTGCAGAAGTTATACAGTTTAAAATACTCCAATACATATTTACCCCAACTATCTGGTGTCACAATTCACAAACGTCTAAGAAGTTCTACAAATACTGGTTTAAAGGAATTACAATTGTTCTCGGAATGGAAAGAGACAGATAAACCAAAATAGGGGGGAAGGGGGACTCTAGGGTCTGCGAACGCGGGCAGATTTACCTAGGGTTTCGCATGGACTAAAAGCAGCAACGTCAACACTACTCACGTGGTCCATCACCTAAATCTGCACAAAAAGTACAGAGTGCAGTATCAGTACAACCGACCTCATGTATTGGTAAGTGTCGAGCCTAACCTTGACGAAGTAGTGACGAGGCTAGGATACGACAACCATATAAATGTGCAGTTAAATCATATACGAGAAACAGTAATAATAGAATTGAACAGATAAAGACAGGAAAGGAGAACATGCTGAGGGGAATATCAAATTCTAACAGTTATAAAGTAAAGAAGCAAGGTAAATATCAACTTTGAACCAACAGAACGGATAACACAGTAACAAGTGCACGACATCACCCTTCGTGTTTTTACTCTCGTCCTCACCATAGAAATCAACAAAGACGGCATGATATCACCCTTCGTGCTTTTACTCTCTCATAATCATGGCACGACATCACCCTTCGTGTTAACACTCACAGAAATATGGCACGACATCACCCTTCGTGCATTAACACTCACTGAATATGGCACGACATCACCCTTCGTGCATTAACACTCACTGAATATGGCACGACATCACCCTTCGTGCTTTAACACTCTCTCACAATATTGTACACGGCATCACCCTTCGTGCTTTACACTCTTCCTTACCCAAACAATAGAAAAAATAACATCCCGGTAAGGGAATAAACAATAGAAACAATAACATCCCGGCAAGGGAATCAGCTATAAACAAACTCGTTTCAATAGTTAACTTCACAAAATAAATCTCAACTTGATTCAATACTCAACAATGGTCAATTACCAAGAAAAATATCATAAGTCTTGTTCAACATGGATAATCATCAACTTAAGCATGAATAGTACATAATAAGAATCACAACGGTCACAGTTTAAGACTCACTTGCATGCTCGACACCAATGTATAGATACTCGTCACCACACCTATACGTCGTACTCAACACTAACATATAGCAAATAAGACAACAACTCTTATTCCCTCAAGCTAAGGTTTGGCCAAACACTTACCTCGATTCCACGGACAAAATCAAGCCTCAATTACCACTTTACCTCTCGGTCCACTTCCAATCCGCTTGTATCTAGTCATAATTTACTTAGTAACATCAATAAATGTTAAATAAACCAATTCTAATGCATGAATATAGGTTTCCCAAAAAAGTCATAAATTAACCCCAGACCCGCTTGGTCAAAACTCGAAGTTCGAACCAAAATTCGATTATCCATTCACCCATGAACCCAAATATGCAATTGGTTTTGAAATCCGACCTCAATTTGAGATCTAAATTCCCATAATTCGAAATTCCTAAATTCTACTTAAAAAAACCCAATTTCCCATGAAAACCCCTAGATTTTGAGATAAAATCATGTAAAAAGATGGAATAGATTGAAGAAAATAAGTTAATAATCGTTTACCTATGATTGGGGAAGAACTCTCCTTTCGAAAATCGCATATGGGAGCTTAGGGTTTGAAAATTTGTGAAATGAGTTCAAAATCCCGTCCAAGTGATGTTTTGATCAGGTGCAGATGTTACAATTGCAACAGGAGCTTCGCAATTGCGAAACTCGCAAATGGGAGACAGGCTTCGCAATTGCAAACTTGTTGCTTGTCTGCTCCTCTAGCAATTGCGAGCAATTCATCGCAATTGCGATGGTTGACCCCTCCCTGCTGACTTCGCAAATGCGTAGGAAATGTTTGCGATTGTGAACTGTGCTGGCCAGGGCTTTCTTCGCAATTGCGATCAAGCCCTCGCAATTGCCAAGCCTGTGAGGCTCGCAATCGAAGTCTGACCTCACAATTGCGAGATCAGAGCCTGCAACAAAAATACCAGATGCAACAGAAATTTTCTAAGTCCAAACTTACTCTGTGGCCGATTCAAAACTCACCCGAGCCCTCGGGGCTCCAACCCAAACATGCACACAAGTCCAAAAATATTATACAAACTTTTTCGTGCGATCAAATCGCCAAAATAACATCTTAAACAACGAATTTAATACCAAAACTCATGAAATTCTTAAGAACATTGAAATTTCTATTTTCTCAACCAATGGTCCGATTTATATCAAATCTCTTCCGTTTTTTACCAAATTTCATAGATACGGCTTAAATACTATATCAAACCTGTACCGGCCTCCAGAACCAAAATACGGGCCCGATATCATCAAGTTCAAACATTAATCAATTTCTAAAAAATCCTTATATTTTCCAGCAAACACTTTTCCTCAAAAATTCATTTCTCGGGCTAGGGACCTCGGAATTCGATTCCGGGCATACACCCAAGTCCCATATTTTTCTACGGACCTTACGGGACCATCAAATTACGGGTCCGCGTCCGTTTACCAAAAATATTGACCGAAGTCAACTTTAATCAATTTTAAAAGCAAATTTCAATATTTTTCTTAAATTTTACATAAAAGCTTTCCGGAAATACGCACAAACTGACATAAATCGAGGAGAAGGGAAATGAGGTTTTTTAGGCCTTGAAACCCCGATTTGATTCTAAAACACAATGGATCATCTCACATTCAAAGCCTCAAAATATAAAACGGAGCGTAAACACTGGCAAGGAGGAGTATGGTTGCTATTAAAATTCCTTAAACTTTCATTGCAAATGGTGTCGAAATTCTCTCAAGTCCCAAGGGGTTAGAAACCAACCACCTCACAAGTTCTAAAATACCATATGAACTTATAGAAAATCTCAAATCAAAAGGTGAAACATTAGAACTTAAAACAATATATTGGTTGTTGCAGACCGTGGTTCAACACCCTCCTCAACTAGAGGGGGAATGATGAAGGATAATGTTTAGTCTGTAGAGTTCAATTACGTTTAGAAGCTCACTGCGTAGCTTGAGTAGGTTCTGTTATCGTATGTGGAGCTCTAGAACTCTTGATTATACTCTATATACATAAATCTATGTACAACACATATCGATATATTGAAAGAGAGCTTTCCATGTACCATTCATCCTTTTCATTAGAAAAATCAAAGTTACTCTTAATATTTCAATTGAAGAAATAGATAGTTAATCCTCAGGAAAAGAAATTAAACTAACAATTTAAACGAGTAAATATTAGGCATATGCTACTTTTGGGGCAAAATTACATTATGAAGTCCTCCACTCTAGGGAGATTCATTGAGTTAAACATTAAGAGCCTATTTGGAAAACCACTTTAGAAATGGATTTGAGTGTAATTGGGTGGAATTACACAGTTTGACATGTTTGTTTGGCCAAGTAATTACTTGGTCAACATGGAATTGGGTATAATTGAAGGGGGTAATTACACTCTTCAATTCTCAAAGGGGAGTTGAGAATTGGTGGTAATTACACTGTGTAATTACAAGGTTGCTTTTTAGTTTTTTTCGTTTTTGTTTTTGTTTTTATTTTAATTTATTTTCTTTATAATTTTTTATTTCTGTTATTTTAATTTTTAAATTTTATTTTTACTTTTTAATTTCTTTTGAAATTTTAAAATATATTTTTATTTGTACATTATTTATTTTTTATTTCTCTATCTTTACTTCTTGTGATTCCATGTAATTGCTTATATTTTATTTTTTATTTATTTTATTATTATATTATTTGAAACTACACCTCCTAATATTAGAAATAATGAGTCATTAACAAACTTGGCATATGGTAGACATGTGATTTTTGACTCTCCCCAGGATTTTTTATATTTTAGCATGTAAATATTTAATTTAGGCCTAATATAGCTATTTTAATTAATTTGACTCTTTTACTTTATTTTATTACAAGAAAAATGAAAATTACAAAAAAAATAGTTTCATTAATATTTTTGTAGTCATTTTTAATCTTGAAAAATACCAAAAAAATAATAGTTTATTTTAACGGTCAGTCTTATTTTAATAGTTTATTTTACTTAAGTAGGATTAATTAATAAATGAGATCACATTTTTAATCTCGTTCGCAGGGAAAGAATAAAACTTAGGCTCGAACAACCTATTTTTAGGCCTAATTTTGGACCTAGCCCATAATTCTTAGGCACATACCCCTAACCTATTCCCTACCCTTATATAATAGTACCTAATCCCTAAATTAAAAGAGGAGGACGCCTAAAAATCTAAAGAAAGGAGACACTCTGCAAAAGCTACAACGCCGCTTTCACGACCCCCCCCCCCGCGTTGTCTTCTCCAAACACCCTCCAGCGTAACTTCTGGATCTTCTTCATGGAGAACACCACAAAACCCTAGAACTTAGCTCCATCTCCATAGCTCACGCCGGACTCTCCGCTCCCCACCAGCGGCAAACACGTTGTTACACCCAAACAACGACCAAAACCTGAAGCAGATGATCCACCGTTTTGGACCTGGACTTCATCTTCTCCATCGAGAACTAATAACGGCTAAACAAAAGCCATCCAGTGGGTCTCTACACACACACAAGAATACACATACTTTGAGATTTCCTTGATGTAAAACTCACAAGACAACAACAAAATAGAGCGCATAAAACATTCTGTTTCATCTCCCTAGTTTCAGATTTTCATTTCTCCATGAACGGAGTTTGCTTGAGCGATTGAAGTTCACGACGAGGCCCTTTGTTGAGTGTCGTCATGGTTCCGGCGAGTCCCGAGTTTTCCGATTGAATATCGATGATCGTTTCTATTGGTTTTGGCCGAAGCCCGTTCGAGGTTGTCGCATCGAGGTCTCCGGTGTTGATTCTATCGCAGCTGGTATGTTCAGAAGTACTACACTTCATGTTTGATGAATCGTTTGGTTAATATTCTTGTTTGGCTTGCGTCGTTAGCGTTTTTCTGAAATTTTGTTTAATTTTGTGTCGTTTAGTATTATGTTATGTTCCATTTGTGTCTTATTTCCTAGCAAATCCCTGTTTGACTGAGTTTGGAGTGCATAATTTCTGGATTACAATGACTCAATTGGCTTTATATTTCATGACGATGCAAAGAAACTAGACGGAGGTGCTAATTGGATTGAAAATCAGATTTACTTCAACGTACATAGCATTTCATTAACATGGTTGGATATTTGTAGTATAGGCAGGAGAGTTAGTTTGTTAAATAAGATGAGGAAATTCTTCCGGCCAATAATTGTTGTTTTGTTGTTCAGAGTTAACTGGAGGAAATTGTTTGTTATAGGCACTATTTTAACAGTGTTTAGGGATACCACTTAAAATGAACTTCGTAGTTTGCTTTAAGCGCGTTATTTCTAAAAGTTACCTTCCTAAACTTGGGTGTGCATTTAAGTGACCCAAATCCAATTTTCAACAAGGTTAAACAGAATGTGTCGTGAACCACGGGTGCATTTATGTGACATGGTTCAAGACGTGTTTTAGATGACGTTGAATCTTTTCTAAAAATAATAAATAAAAGCGGTTTTAAAGTTAAAATTGAACCATAGGCTAAAACATATATTAAAATCAAGTAAATAGGCCAAACATAACAGTTGAGCGACCGTGCTAGAACCACGGAATCCGAGAATGCCTAACACCTTCTCCCGGATTAACAGAATTCCTTACCCGGATTTCTGTGTTCGCGGACAGTAATACAGAGTCAATCTTTTCCTCGATTTGGGATTTGAACTAGTGACTTGGAACACCAATTAAAATATTCCATGTGGCAACTCTGAATTGAATAAATAATCCCATTTCGAATAATGTCACTTTAATTGGAAAAACTCCATTGTCTACCTTCGGGTGTGTAAAAAGGAGGTGTGACAGCTCTGGCGACTCTGCTAGGGATCGAACCCAGAATCTCTGGTTCAGGCTTCAAAAATTCGATCTAAGATGAATTGTTATATTTGGTTTTATTTGTTATCTGATTTTATGGCATGTTTGGGCCTAATGTGCTAAATGTTGCTTTTACCGCTTTGATATTATCTGAACTATATGTTATGAAACCCTTCTCTTCTCATCTTCGGGGATGTGCTCGCTAGTCGAGACTCCCTATTCTATTAGTGTCATACCTTGAAATAAGAAAGAGGCTCGGACAAGGTACTAAGCCGGATGGCCTTTTGGTTCCCGGTACGTAGCCCCCTCCTCGGCTCGAGTTGTCCGCTCGGGTACACAAGTCTAGAACAAATACCCAGGTTTTGAACCTAGAATAACTCAGCCTCATGCCGGATCCCTAGAACGTTTGTTTGTATCATGTGCATTTGACTTTAGAGACTCAACACAGGGATTGGGTCTATCTAGGACAGGTGTACCCGAAATGAAAAGACCATCCTGATACATCTTACTTGCTACTTGTGCATTCATTTGCTTCAGATTTGCATGTTGACCGGCTCGTAGGAGAAAAACTTAGGGAAAGTCAATGAAAAGCTAAGAGAGATAATTTCGTGTTTTGAAAAACCGATGTCCCAAAATATACTGAAACTCTGCCGAAATTTTGAAAAAAAAAATTTGTTTTGTTTTAAAAAAAGAGTTGGTTTTTGTTTTATCGAAATTGCCCGAACTACGCCAGTTTGATTCTCACCGGATGTGGGATACGTAGGCAACCTTCATCGGGTCCAACTTCCTTTTTTGCAAAATAGCGCAAAAGAACCAAAAATCTTATTGTTTTTTTGTGGTGAACAAGCAAGGCGACGCCATTCTTGTCAAAAATAGCCGAATGTCCCTAAAAGGATGTCAGAAGACTATTTTTTCAAGAACAACCGCCTTTGGTCTCTTTTTCAAATTTTTGGTCGGTTATCAAACACGGCCTTAAAATCTTCTCACGGAAGTGCTGAAAGGCCATATTTGCAAAGCCGGATTTTTATTTTTGACATGAAAAAAAAGTGTTAACTTTGTTTTTGGAGTCAAATGAATTATGATTTTGCTTAACCACCCTAATAAATGTGCAGAATGAGCACGAATCAAAATTTGTCAATAATTCATGAACAAGATCCCTTTGGAGCTGCACATGTGGTGGAACGATCTCGGTAAATCAGGGCAAGATACGGTCAATCTATACTTGGAAGGCCTCACCGGGTTGCTGAAGATTAATTCTAGGGGAGACATCGTAAATGCATTGGTTACATTCTGGGACCCGGCCCACAATGTATTTCATTTCTCAAACTTTGAACTTACTCCAACCTTGGAAAAAATAGCCAGATATATTGGTGGTCCCAAAGTTCCTCTGAGACACCAGTACTTGATTGCTCCAAGGGTCGTAGTCGTACACAGGTTCCTAGATTCTTTAAAGATAAGCAGGGGGTCCACAACCCAGATCTGGCAGCTGGTTTTTGCACTCTGCAGTTTATATACAAGAGATATGGTCATATAAGGGGGTTTAACAATCCAAAAAACAAAATCTGCAGCAAAGGAAGCCACCTCAAATACAGGTGTTTCACATTTATGGTAGTTTTCTTGGGCCTATTGGTGTTTCCCCGGAAAGATGAGATTATCGATATACGGATAGCTGGGGTTGTCAGCACTTTGCTTACTCAAGCTAAAGGTACCCTCGCACCCATGATAGTGTCTGAGATCTTCCGCGCCCTCACAACTTACAAAGTCGGAGGAGACTTCTTTGAAGGGTGCAACTTGTTATTACAAATGTGGATGATTGAACATCTATGTCATCGTCCTCAATTCATGAGTTATGGGTTGACAGAGAAGAGCTGCATAGAGGAATTCCATACAAGAGTTGATGGGTTTAGCTTACCATAGGGGGTCACAGAATGGGTATCACATCTCCGTTCCATCAGTGCAAGTCAAATAGAGTGGACGTTTGGGTGGCTTCTCGTAGATGAGATCATATACATGCCAGCTACCGGGCCTCACTTCCTTTTGATGGGTCTCAGGAGTATCCAGCCTTATGCCCCATATCAGGTTTTGAGACAGTTAGGGAGATGTCAAATAGTTCCCAGGAATGAAGACATTAGTCGCCATTTGGTCGAGATTGGTCCCGATGGTCAATTTCATGAAGCAGTGCTTCGCCAGATTTGGAGCGAGTGTCAGTACTTGACGACAAACACTCGAGTATGTGATCTTCCAGAGGTGAAGTTGCACCAGAATACCTTTCTTGGTATAAAAGGGAAGTTGAGTTTAGAAGGCCGGCCAAAAGGCCCCATCTTCAAGAATTTATCGAGACGTCACAAGAGCAAGGGGACTGGATGGCCAAAGAAAATGAGTACCGAGCCACCATAAGAAGGCTGGAAAAGCAAGTCATGGACCTTCAGTTTGAGAATGGGTTGCAAGCCGTCGCAGATGAAGGTGAGAAGAAGAAGTTAACTCAGGAAAATGAAGCCCTCAAAGTTCAAATTCAGAAAATGAGAATAGCTGCTAGAAACCCGGAAAGAAGCCCAGCGGATGAAAGGCTTATAAGCAGTCTGAAAAAGAAAGTCTTTGAGTGTCAAGATGACCTGGAAAAGTCTGAGGCCAGCCTAGCAAAAGTCTGGGCACGATGGGCAAAGAAGGCGGAAGAGCGAGCACAGTTTGTGCAATAAATGAAAAGAAAGTATGAAGGGACAATTGCCAGCCTGAAGAGAAAAATGACTACCCTCGAGAATGAGGCAGCCAAGCAGGCCAAGGACTTTAAAGCTGACAGGGAACACTGTTATGATTTGATGGCTCAGATGGAGGAAGAAATACAACAACTGCAAAATCAACGTCTCCACGACACTTAGGTGTTAGAAGCCCGGAATTAGCAGGTCGGGCGTCTGCTTTAGGAAAAGGGTAGAATCCAAGAGAGGATCAGAACCATCGCCGACTACATTGTTGTAAAATGCCAAGCATGTGAGGATATGACTCGCACCACCTTCTTCGTGGCAGTGATGACATTTGTCCGACAGATAATGAGAGACTTGGAAAGGCTTCAAAGGGATCTTGCATATAGGTCCGTGGCGAGACCGAATGATGTCCCACGGGCCCTAGGAGCATTTGAGGCATTAATGTATTCATGATTTTCATTGGAGTCTGTTAGTCTGTTTGCGAGTCTGTACTTTCTTTTGTTGGAGTCTATTAGTTGGTTTTCAAATTTGTTATTTTCACCTTTCTGTCAGAGTCTATCGGTCTTGTTTTGAGTCAGGGTCTGTCAATTTCCCTTATCGAGTCTATTAGTTTTTAGGACGAGTCGTTGTAATCAAAACTGTTTGTTTGAAAATCCCAAAATGTGTTTATCATTTACTTTTACACTTATCCCCCAGAACTACGCTTGGTCTGATTCATGTGGGGTCATGATACGTAGGCAATCTCCATAGGATTCAACCATAACCAAAAGAAAAAAGAGAAAAGAAGAAAAAAAAAAGGAAAAACAAGAGAAAGACAAGAAAAGAAAAGAGAGAAAAATAAGAAACCATGGGGAGGGAACAATGGCAAAACAAGAAAAAGACATGAGAGAATAAAAACAAAGAGAGATCAAGCAAGGAAAATCCAGAATAAAAAGAGAAAAAAAGAGAGAAAAGAGAAGTTGTAGATGGAAATAAGGAAAAGTTGGGATGACGCAAGAAACCGATCAAATGCATAATAGAAACGGTTAACTGCTTAGGTGCATTCACTCCTCAAATATGTGGTTGCCTATCTGTTAAAGCCCTAATCGCTAACAAGTTTGTTATTGATGAAATTCAAATTCAGGCAGGTGGTTAGTTTGATTGGCATTCTGGCAACTCACTCCTACAACACCCGGTCCAAAAACAAGTTGAACATGGCCAACCAGGAACTTGAGGCATGTATTGTCGATCCGTCAAAAGAGATGGAAGAATCGGAGGTCAATCTGAAAGATGAGTTGTATAAGTTGAAGCAGAAGATGGCTGAAATATACCAAGCATGGGCAAAAGGGCACCCACTGCTAGTTTACCCCGCTAGCCTTGCTTTTATCCCGCCATTGGCTCAGCCCCAGGAACCTCCCACTGTGAACTCATCCCCGGCCTTTCCCCTCTACCAATAATGCCACGACACCACTTCCCATACATCACAAACTCCACCACCCAAACAAGTCTTGTACCCTCCTCCACCAGTCACTCATATTTTTGTGGCACCCCCACCTGCTGCATTACACTGATCCTCCAGTGAGCCTTTATTCCAGACTAATGACAACCAGTATTACCCCCCAGAGCCCACTTTCAAGGTTCCCAGACCCTATTCCTACATTTCTTATTTTGACCTCTCTATGGAAACCGAAAAACAATCTAAAAATCCCGAATATGAGGAGATGTTCAGGAAAGTTAAAAGCCTAGAACAGTCATTCAGAGACATGCGGGGGTTGGGAGGTCAAGTAAGTGTGGCCTACAAAGACCTATGTCTGTTTCCAGATGTGCAATTGTCGGCAGGGTTTAAGATGCCCAAGTTTTATTTGTATGATGGGCACGGTGATCTAGTGGCGCATTTGAGAGGTTTTTGTAGCAAAATGAGGGGATCTGGCGGGAAAGACGAGCTGCTAATGGCGTATTTCAGTCAGAGTCTGAGTGGTTCAGCGCTGGAATGGTATACTTGGCAGGATAACGGAAGATGGTACACATGAGATGATCTGGCCCAAGCATTTGCTTGTCACTTCTAGTACAATCTCGAGATTATTCCGGATCGTCTGTCTTTGACGAAACTTGAGAAAAAGCACAATGAAATATTCAGAGAATATGGTTTTCGTTGGAGAGAGCAGGCAGCGAGGGTTGACCCTCAAAAGAAAGAAAGTGAAATGGTGGATTATTTTCTGCAGGCCTTAGAACCTACTTATTACGGACATCTGGTATCGGTTATAGGCAAGTCCTTCAATGAAGTGGTAAAAATAGGCGGTATGGTAGAAGAAGGGCTCAAGACAAATAAAATCATGAGCTATTCGGCGATCAAGGCAACCACCCAGGCTATTCAAAGTGGAACTGGGGGAGCAATTGGAAAGAAGAAGAAAGAGGATGTCGCAACGATCGAGTCAGGAGTTTGGTTCGGACCCAGGGGCCCATCACATTACTATAACCAGCCTCGACCCCACCACCAAACCTACCCTCATACCCCATATAGCCTACCACAACACTACTACCCACCACCAGACCCCCATTTTTCTGTCCATCATGCCCAAACATACAGCCAACCTCCGGCCCACACACAATGGCATGCGCCAGTCCTACAAAATACATACCCAGCCCCACAAAATGCCTATCCACCCCCAAGAGCCTACTGAAACCCTCCTGGATTAGGTTTCCGGCCCAACCAAGCATTTAAGAACAAGAGGTTGCAGAGGAAGAAAACGTTCACTCCATTGGGAGAATCCTATACCAGTTTGTTCCACATGTTGCAACAATTGGGTATGATGAGTTCGATCGAGCCAAAACTGCCAAATCCTCCCTCGAGGAATCTTGATCACTCTGTGAGTTGCGAATATTGTTCTGGTGCTCCGGGGCACGACACAGATAAATGTTGGCAATTGAAAACATCTATTTAAGGGCTCATTGATACTAATCGGATTGAGGTTCAAGCTCTGGAGGCGCCCAATATCAACCAGAATCCGTTGTCGGCCCATCATGAGACAAATATGATCGAGATAGTGCAAAGGGGAGGGGAGCCTAATAAGCCTTCACAGACCGTCATGATGATTCGGTCCAGTGAAGTCAGGCCGTTTGAAATGCCAATAATTGATAAATCAGTGATTAGGTTGAGCGGGGCAAAAAGTGAACCATCTGCGGTAGTCAAGGAAGGGTCTTCAAGTGGTGTTGCAGTGAAACAGGAAAAAGCAAAAGTGGTGGTGCCAGGGGTAGCGAACAAGCCTGTCATAATTATGGAGGGTGCTCGCACAGATCCTGTAATTATCAAACCTATCACCCAATTACCAATAGTCAACAGCAAGGCTGTCCCGTGGAATTATGAACGAGTGACAGTGACTTACAAGGGAAAAGAGGTTAAACAAGAAGTTTGTGAGACCCATGGTTTGACTCGATCGGGGAGATGCTTTGCCCCCGAAGAGTTGAGAAAAGCTAAGATATCCAAAGATAACCCGGTGCTAGTGAAGAAAGTTGTGATCGAGGAAGAAGCAGAAGAATTCTTGAGAAAGATGAAAGTGCAGGACTATTCCATTGTGGAGCAGTTGAGGAAGACACCGACTCAGATTTCACTATTGTCATTATTGATATATTCAGACGAGCACTGTCNNGTCGGGCTTTGATGAAGATCCTGAATGAGGCCCACGTTCCTAACAAAATCTCAGTAAACCACTTGGAAAAGATAGCTAACAAGATATTTGAGGTAAATAGAGTCACTTTTTCTGATGATGAGTTGCCCGTGGAGGGTACTGAGCACAATAGAGCCCTCTATCTTACGGTGAAATGCAAAGATTCCGTGGTTACTCGGGTACTGGTCGACAATGTTTCTAGTGCGAACATTTTCCCTCTCTCCACGCTGAACAAGTTGAAGGTGGATGATGAAAGAATTCACAAGAACAGTATTTGCGTTCGGGGATTCGACAGTGGAGGGAAAGCTTTAGTCGGGAACATAGTACTTGAGCTTACAATAGGGCCAGTTGAATTTACCATGGAGTTCTAGGTGCTCGATGTGGCTGTTTCTTACAATCTGCTATTAGCTCGACCCTGGATTCATGCGGCCAAAGCAGTCCCATCTACTCTGCATCAAATAGTCAAGTTTGAATGGGATAAACATGAAATTGTTGTGCACGGCGAAGATAATTTGTGTGTTCCCAGTGACGCCATTGTTCCGTTCATAGAGTTTGAAGACGACAAGGGGCCATGGGTTTATCAGGTTTTTGACACGGTATTGGTAGAAAAAATTCCAGAAGGGAAGTGCGTTCCAACTCCAAGAGTAGCTGTTGCATCAGTCATGGTAGCCGTTGAAATGTTGAAAAATGGTTTTGTACCAGACAAGGGTTTGGGTGCATCTCCGCAAGCCCATAGTTGTGTACGTGAAAAGAGCCAGAAAGTTGAAACAGAGGGCCTGGGTCCTCCCAAAGCCCATCCCACGGCTCTCTAGATCATTTGTCAGGCCTGGCACCAAGAAACGCCCAGTAACAACAGTTCCCAGTTCTGTGGTTGGTCCTGATAAAGAGTTGATTGAAAGGTTCGAGAAGTTATTCAATGATGTGAACATGGTGGAAGCTGGAGAGGGTTCTAGCAAGGCATATGTGTAATTTGTTGGGCCCAGTGCAAAGATTAACAATTGGGAAGTTACTCCTATCCTCACCAGGAATGAGTTTTGGTAGTTTGCTTTGATTTTCTTTCAGTTTATCTGGATTATTCCAGGGTTGTAATTCAGATTCTATGTTCCGTCTATTTGGATGTATAAACCTTGTTATCTTTTAATTTCAATGAAATGCAATTTCCCTTTTTCTTCATTCCTGGTAGTTTTATTTTTGTTTTCTTTTCTTCCTTGTACAGTTCTTTTTATGCTGGTTTCAATAACATGACATGCATGAGGAATCTTCGGCCTAGTCCTAAAAGCCAATCTAATTATGAAATAGTAATTCAAGAAATAGAGTGTGATGATGAATCAGAATATGATGAGGATGAGGCTTTTGAAGAGATTAGTAAAGAATTAAGCCATTTTAAAGAAAAACCTAAGCCTAACCTGAGTGATACAGAAGCAATCAATTTAGGGGACCTAGATAATATCAGAGAAACTAAAATAAGTGTCCATCTTGAACCTCAACTTAGGGAGAAGATAATTAAAGTGTTACTTGAGTACAAAGACGTCTTTGAATGGTCATATGATGGCATGCTGGGTTTAAGCACTAACTTGGTGGTTCACAAATTGCCCACTGACCCGGCATTCCCTCCTATCAAGCAAAAGTTGAGGAAATTTAAAACTGATATGAGTGTGAAGATCAAAGAAGAGGTCACCAAGCAGTTCGATGCAAAAGTCATTCGGGTCACTCGGTATCCCACTTGGTTAGCCAATGTAGTATCTGTGCCAAAGAAGGATGGCAAGACCAGGGTGTGTGTTGATTACCGTGATCTCAACAAGGCGAGTCCCAAAGACAACTTCCCACTACCAAACATCCACATTTTGATTGATAATTGCTCCAAACATGAGATTGGGTCTTTTGTGGATTGATACGAAGGCTATCATCAGATCCTAATGGATGAGGAAGATGCAGAGAAGACGGCATTCATCATGCCATGGGGAACATGCTGCTACAGGGTAATGCCTTTCGGTTTGAAAAATGTTGTGGAAACTTACATGAGGGCAATGAC